CACATAACTGATTAATTCCATGAACAAAGCAACTTGCAGCACTGCACCTTTTTCCGTCCTTAAGGGACAGAGTGGCGATGCAATCTCCAACCCCCAGGAATAGGTCTGCATGTTTGCTGAGCATTTTGTGTGATGTCTTGGGGAAGGGTAAACCCCTCAACTGAGATAACATCATGGGGCAAGGTAGGTTTGACCCTGCTTGGACTTCCGTGCCTCAAATACAGTCATACCTCGGTTAACAGGGATTGGCTGCTGATAATTTACAGGAAACAAACTCCACTCTGTCGCGTTCACAGGGCACACGCACAATTAAAATGTTACTCTTTGGAATCGCTTCGCATGATTTCTGAAGAACTCTTTTTAGATTATTTTTGTTGTCGTTGCAAAAATAGGTGGGTGAAGGGGCCCCCGCCACGGCCGACTTCGTTATGAAGGAGATTCGTTCCCCGAGGCTTTGTTAACCGAGGTATTCATGCATCGGAGGAAGTAGCCACCCCCTGTGAGTGGTTGGCTGATGTTGCCATCTGTTGAGAAACTATGAAGTGCGATCCAGAGTCTAGGAACAGGAAAAAGGCCAAGCAGAGATTACCTCCCCAGTGAACTGCCGAGGCAGGGTGGAAATTTGTGCAGGCTACCCTATATGATATAAGTCGAACCCCTCTTAACGACCACCCCTGTTAACCACTAGTCGCTTAGCGACGGGCCTCCATAGAGCACAATGTGTAGTCAGTGTATAGTGTAGTGTATAGTAGTGTATAGTGTAGTGTATAGTAGTGTATAGTAGTATAGTGTAGTGTATAGCGTAGTGTATAGTAGTGTAGTGTATAGTAGTGTATAGTAGTGTAGTATATAGTGTAGTGTATAGTAGTGTAGTGTATAGTAGTGTAGAGTAAAACCCTTATTAACGATCAACCCTGTTAACGACTAGTCGCTTTACGATGGGCCTCCATAGAGCACAATGTGTAGTGTCAAGTGTAGTGTATAGTAGTGTATAGTGTAGTGTATAGTGTAGTGTATAGTAGTGTATAGTAGTGTAGTGTATATTAGTGTAGTGTATAGTAGTGTATAGTAGTGTAGTGTATAGTGTAGTGTATAGTAGTGTAGTGTATAGTAGTGTAGTGTATAGTAGTGTAGTGTATAGTGTAGTGTATAGCGTAGTGTATAGTAGTGTAGTGTATAGTAGTGTAGTGTATAGTAGTCTAGAGTAAAACCCTTCTTAACGACCAACCCTGTTAACGACTAGTCACTTTACGATGGGCCTCCATAGAGCACAATGTGTAGTGTATAGTGTAGTGTATAGTGTAGTGTATGGTGTAGTGTATAGTGTAGTGTATAGTGTAGTGTAGAGTAAACCCCCTCTTAACAACCACCGCTGTTAATGACTAGTCGCTTTACGACGGGCCTCCATAGAGCCAAATTTGTTCGCTTAACAACCATTCCGCTTGTTAAAGACGGGCTGCTGTAGGTGCAGTAAATATTCATTAATGCATTGATTAACTTTGTTTATTTTAATAGTATGTGTTTATAATGCTGTTAGTGTCTTTGCGCATTAATATCCATTGTTTAAATATTATAACTATCGTTTTTCGGGTGAAAAGAGGTCACTTTCGATGCTATCGAAACGAATCAAGCCTTTCACGTCTATTTCCTATACACGCTTAACGACCAAATCACTTAACGACCGGTTTCGTGGGACCAGTTACAGTCGTTACGAGGGGGTTCTCCTGCACATGCAACTGGGCCAAAGGAGTGGCCCCGCAGGATAGTAACGATGCCCTCCTGGTGGTCCCTCGTTTTTTCACGCTTTTTCATTAACTCACTCTGTTGTTGTATCCTCAAATCTTGTAACTCAATTGTAACCCACTTCCCAATGTGGTATCGACTGCAAACTTGGTAAACTTATGTCATACTGATGACAATACTATATTCTATCATTAAAACACGTTTTTTTCTAAAGCATTATTTTTCATATGTCATTTTTCGGCTTGGCTCTAATTGTCCACGGTAAACTAACGTTGGCTGTAAATCACCACCGTCCTTTACTTTATGGCAAGCTTCGGGGCCACTTCCTGGAGTCGTGGAGTTCTTCCATTACTAGTACGGTACATTTAATCAAAGCGTGTTTTTAAAAAAACAAAAAATACTTATTTCAGAACGGTTCAACCGCACTGTTTGTAACAACTACCGGGACATCTCCCTCCTCAGCGTGAGACCAGGAAAGCTTCGAGTGGAGGATTATTCAGTTGTCTTGCCCAGCACAATGAGGAAAGGCATGTCGAGCCCCAATGTGGTTGCAGAATGGAGGGGGTTCTACACATACGCCACATTAAGATTCACATTTTAGGGAAGATGTTTTCTTACTATATCATTCCACCACCCGACAGAACCAATTATAAGATAATGTTTAGATTCAGAATCATAATTTTTATTTATACTGGAAGAATCCTATGAGCTTTTAAGGAAATTTTCACGGATATACAGTAGGGGCAAATATGTCAATTAATTTGGTTTCATCAGCAAAACCGGAATGTTGAAAAGCAAGCAAAATGTTTGACAATTTTACGCGACATTTCGCTGCAGATTACATCCAGCATCATCATGTGTCCACAAAAGAGCTGAGCTGTTGAAAAGAGCTGAGCAGTTGCCTTCCAACAACAATGAGCACAGCTTATATAACACAGCAAGTTGGCACAGTGGGGAGCACAGGTGGTGCATCTGCCAATCACCCCAGTCGATCCATAGCACCTGGGTCTGTCCCGTCACCCATCAGCGAGCCTTCCACACTTCACGTGGCCTCAAGGTGGACATCACCGCCGTGTAGTGGCAAGTGGCGGCTGTTGTGTGAGCAAATTAAATCAAGGGACACAAAGCATCATGAGAACAATTGGCGAGGTGGCAGCAATGCGGCGACGTTGCAGATATTTGGAGGCCACTACTAGACTAGAGCAGCTGGGACCTTACAGCCTGACGACAACATGATGCGTGTGTCTGTGCGTGTACATGAGGGTAGTGTGGAGTCAGTGTAGCGGCGGTCAGCGCGCTGCGCTACGAACCCGGCGCCCCAAGTTCAATTCTCATGCTCACGGCCACCAACACCAGTGACAAATATTTGAACCGGTCCCCTAGATGGACTCGGCCTCAAATGAGTACCTGGTGCGGTGTGTAAACATCGCCACTGGGGAGACAAAGGCGGCCGGGCGTGTCACTGGCCAACCACCCGCTTGAGTTCCGTGCCGGCTTCCATAGATGCTACTCGCTAACATTACTTGCCCCGATAAGTCTGTCAAGGTTATACGGGGGGATCTTTGTGTTTTTGCATGCGAGTGAATGTCCATATTGTTACATGTATGTGTTTGCATACGGTTACGTGTCCATACATGTATTTCCGTATCTGCATTTGTGTAGACATGTTGGCATGTGCCTGTGTGCGCGGCATGTGGGTGTGTTACGCGTCTGTGGTTGAGCGGTGGCGCCGTGGTTCGTCCACTGCGACGAACCCGGCAACCCGAGTTAGAGTTTTAAGCCATGGCTCAGATCAGTGGCGAGTTTTAACAGAACTGGTCCTGAGCATCCCTCTGCCATAAATAAGTACCTGATATGGCGTGTAAACAGATGTCCTGGGGAGACAAAGATGGCCGGCATTGTGTTGGCACACCAACGCCTCGCGCGCCGCATATACATTTATAGGTGCCCCAGCAGTCTGCATAGGTTGTACTGGAGATTTTTGTCTTTGTTTGAGTATGTTTGTATATACATGTGTGTTTATGTGCAAGTGTGTGTGCTTCAACGCATGTCAGTGTGCGCAGCCTCTGGTTAACGTCCAAGCCGTAATTGTAGATTGTTGCTGTCCAGTCTGGGCCAATGACCTAACCGACCGAACAGCCTGTGTCTGGGTCTCTGGGTCAGCATGTCTGGGTGCCCGCCTCTGTACCATGTCACACAGGTCTGTAAGATTGCCCGGAGGCTGCTACAAGCTTCTGTTACAAGATCTGGCTTGAGTGCTTGGATTTAGAGCACATATATGCTTTGGCTTTGTCGGGATCACTACGTGAGAACTTGGATTCAAATCGCACGTGTTTATCTCAGATATAGGCAGGATTTCCTTTTGTGGTGAGTTCTCAATGGCAGGGAGTCAATGGGCGCAGCCTGATCAACCAATGATTGCACCAAGAATTTCAGTTCGGAGAAATAAAAAAAAACCGTGAGTTTACTGCCATGCTGTGGACAACTCTATAGTACGTGGTTTGTAAAACCAAATCTGATGTGATAGCTTTTTGGTGGAAGCATTGGTGACTTGGTTGTGACCATCAACCGTTGCATATCTGCAAGTCCATTATCTAACATCACTTGTCACCCAATCCCATCTACTCTGTCCAGTAAATGTAAGGCATTTTTTTTCTAAACCTCTATATGCTCTTATACCATTGACTTACCAGTGGGTGAATGCAGTTGGAGTTCATTTCTCCAGATTATAACAAACACATTTTTGGCCTCTACTTTAAAGCAAACGTTGTCGGTATATCTGTTAATCCAGAAAAGAGTTGTCTAAAGCGATACATGACCACCCAGAGAAGAGAAGATACCACCAGCTGTTTAGAATGATCTTCCAGAAGACATCGCTCCCCACTTGACAGTAGATAATTGATAATCATATTTTGAAAGAGAGTTCTCCACAGTCCCTGTTTTGGTGATTATTGAACTTCTTTTTCCAGCATCCGCTCCGTTTGGGAAATGTTTTATTCTGCTGTTCTCCACTAATTTTCAGAGGGAGGCCACTTTCGCCAAGAAGACATAATCAGTGTGAGGGCCGCCACACCGCCTGCAAGGGCTGTTTTCATTATTTGTGTATTGTCGGGGACCGCACGTCACGGGCTGCACTAAAGGCCACCAGGGGCCACCAGTGGCCCACGGGGCCTTGCAATGAAGAACACTTTTATTCCCTTGATTCCCGCTTTCCCATGACATTAAAATTGTATGGTTGTTGTCTCCGTGTCATTCAGGGCGCGCAAGGGAACCCTGGCTCATCAGGATCCCCTGGGCCAATTGGCCTCCCAGGCCCCCAGGGCATCACTGGTCCGCAGGGGCCACAAGGATTTCAAGGCCTGCCCGGCAAAGCAGGGCAAGAGGGCCCACGTGGCCCCCCTGGGCTCAAGGTAAGACTATAAATGCCATAGCAAGGCCAGTAAGGCGTGTGCTCTTTTTTATATTGGATCGGGCATAATTCACTTGGGGTGCTGGCGAAATGTACGTTCGTTTTGTTTGACCGTACAACGTGGCATATCTGACCGTCACATATCCGGCCTGACCAATTCACTACTCGCATCAAGTGCAGTATATATTGCACGTTGTAATTTTTTGTTATATAGATGCTCACAAATGTGACCTTTTCAAGTATGGCAATGTGTTCTCAATTTTGTCGACGTTGGCTTACTTCTAAACTATAGTTAAGTATTCTTAGCTCTTTCGGTAAAGTCACGTTGAAGGGAAACAATAAAATAATAAAATATATATAAAACAATAAAAATTCTCACGACGTTTCGACCATAACACAAACGGTCGTCATCAGATGTGTCGGTTTGCATTAATTATTTTTTTTGAACGGCTTATTTATTTATTTATAAAAAACGTCAGTGCCACGTGCAGCGATTTGGCAGTTTATTTAGATCATCATCAGGTGTGAAAACCACAGCAAGAAAATTTGAAAAAAGTGGCGTTTTTTAACGTTAGCACCACGGAGAGCGATTTGGCAGTTATTCAGATGGACGAGTCCATCTATGTTCTGAAAAGAGGAGGGGGGAGACGAAAAAATAATGTATGCTGTCTGAAAGCCACTGTAAGCGTGAACAAATTAATGCAAACCGACACACCTGATGACGACCGTTTGTGTTATGGTCGAAACGTCGTGAGAATTTTATTGTTTTATATATATATTATTATTTTATTGTTTCCCTTCAACGTGACTTTACCGAAAGAGCTAAGAATATGAATTACTGCAGTTATGAAAGCTTTAAATCAAAATTTATAGTTAAGTAGTTTCCTGCGTTCTTGAAAGCAGTTTGTGTTTTGTTTTTGTCCAGTAACCTATTTCCACGCAGTGGTTGAACTGTCCATTTCTGTCGATGTTCCCGTTTCTGATTTTTTCACAAATTCCTATTGGGCGATTCTCATCCTCAGTGGAAACGCTGATCCAGCAGTGGCAATGTCGCATTCCTAAGAAAGGGCCAGGTTTATCTGACGAAACAACCACTGTTGATTTCCCGCGAAGTGCTACTAATTTCATATGACCCGGAGGGATGACAGGCTAAGTCAATCCCAACTGGGATTTTAAACTCACAAGCCCCCAATTGTGACTCAAGTGCTCTTGCAACAGAACACTCAGCCAAATAACTTCACGTGAAAAGCCCATAAAATGGGCTGGTGTTGTACACTGCATTGTTGCCCTCCTTGCTCTTTGAGACTTTGGGCATCCCAATGTGGACGACGTGATTCATTGCCAAATTCTGTATAGTAACAAGGCATTCTGATATCATTAGTACTTGCCTGTAATTTTCTAAACGACACGTGGTTTCAATATGCGGGGATTTTTCACTTTTCATGCCACTGAACAGACTGCTCGGTTGACGTTACATGGAAACGTGCTGTTTAACTTACAGGTCATCTGATTCGTAACAATATTCCACGATCTGCATCGCCTTTGAAGCTTGTTTGATCCATCTGTACGTGTCGGGTGATGACAGGCTGCTCCGTGCTGTATTTCAGGCCCGTAGCCATCGGCTTGATCAAATGGTCACAATTCGGGGTCGCGATTCAATTCAAGAATCAAATTACGTGTTATAGATTTGTGGTGAAAGCTGCACACCCAATTCTTCAAATCAACATGCCAACCTTGGCATGTGGTTGGAACCATTCGACGAACGTTGGCCCAACGTTCCATGTTTGCTGGATCGCTGCATTGATTGATAGGCCCATTATACACAACATATATGAAGCAACAGCAATGACGTCTTTACACTTTACAACGGTTATGCATGTATATTGTGAATATTGGAATCGAAGCATCATTACCGGGTCCGGTTTTTATTGTACATTTGTCATGCTCGTTTAAGCACCCACTGATCGAGGGTGTTCGAGATGTGGTCGACCGTAAGGTCGTAAGTTGAAATCGCGATCGGAATAAACTCACGCTGTCGCTCCCCCTCGAAGTTAATTAAAATGGGTCTCGCCGCAGCAAGTCAACAAGGGATGTTCTGTGGAGAGTCTGGCTCACTCCATGGGAATGTAGAATTTCCACCACTTCCTCGTCGTCGCCACTAGAGGTGGGCCCTAACCCATTGCTCAGAAGCTCTTGTTCTCAGCTGCATATGTTTAATGTGAGTTTAGCGGTGCTGAATATCCCGAGTTACTGGAATGCAGAGCGAAGTAGCACAGTTGTTTAGCATTCATAGAGGTCAAAGTTCTTTGTACCACACGATGTTCACTTCGAGCCAACGCAATGGTTCTGGCACGGAACTTGCAATGTAGAGGTCGCCAGATCAGTGTCCCCGCACGGGCGGTTGAAACGATGGAGCCACCTTACGGCAGTTGTTTTTGTTTGAAACACAAGCACGTGAATAATGGTTATATATTTTTTTTTTAAAACCCTACGCAATATTTTTGCAACTTGTTAATTTAACATGTGATTTATGACGAACCGTATAGCGCAAACTACATTTTGGAAGGATTGAAAGAACACAGGAGAGATGCAACGAGCCAAAGTTATGTACAGTGTACGTCGGAAATTATAAAAGTGGTGGGAGAAGCAATGCAAAGGCTGCTTCATTTTTCAAATAAAATGCAGTTGGTTGACACTGAACCACTGCCGTGGCGTAACGGCGAGCACAGCGGCCTCGCAACCCGGAGGTCGCCGGTTCGATTCCCCGGCACGGCATTTGGAAACGATGGTGCATGTTTCTTAAACCACCCCTCACTCTGCCCACCGCGCAGTTACAAATAGACAAACACCGCAGTTCGTCGGTCTTCAGGTCCCGTGTGGTGGAGTGAAGTGTGGGCATGGCCCACCAATTACAAGTCGTCTGGGCAGTGCGAACGAGTAGGACAAAATACCCCTTTGGGGGGTTCTCTGAAAGCTCTCTGTCATTGATGGCCCTTCTGCAAAACAGCGGCATGAGCCATCAATTCCAGGGCTGCCCCTTTAACCATTACTTTGTTTCCAGCTATAAATAAGGCATGGCTTTTTTGGCGACCCTCGTGCGTTTTTTTTTGCGGAGGGGGTGGGGGGCTGGGGGGGTGGTGGTGGGGGCGGGTGTTGTGAATGCAGCGCGCGTCTCGTTTGGGCCCGTTCTCTGGTGGCCGCACCTGGCATGCGTTGCATGGGGGGAGGGGGGACATTGGCAGCGCTCGCAGATGCCTCGGCTGAACGGAGCCACCACGACGCCAATCAAAACTAAATCGCAGGCCAACGTAAATCCGCAGAAGAAATAACTTCATTAGGCGACAAAATTGTGGTCGTTTTATGAAGAAATTAGGTGGAGCTAATCAGCGGCCAAAGTTTTGTTGTGTAATACACGAGTTGGTGGAACATATGGCGCGATTTCTGAATTGAATTTTGTCATTTAAGGTAGCCTGGAAACCTTAAAACATGTGTATAAAGAAGTTTCCTATTTCTTAGTAAGGGTAGCTTCACTGACCAGTTCACGAGCTAAGAACAAGGCAGCTGTGTAGGCGGGTTTGGAATGTGCCTCCTGCTGCTTTTTCAAGTAAAAAAAAATGCATTGCCTTGGTTTTGTTTGAGTATTTCTTACTATTTTACTCAATCCTAAGCATATTAAATATCTAATTTTTGGCCTGTGTTGACCCATACATCAAACATTGAGGTCTGAAATAATGTATAAATAATACATATATTTGTTATTATTATTAATGTGCTCACATTATAACATACAGTGCCGAGAAAATGCTTGTGAACCCCTTAGGATCTTTTTAAAATATATTTTACATATTTCAAACTAAAAATGTTATTAGATCTTAATAAGTTCTAATAATAGATAAAGATAACCTGGTGAAACAAATTACACAAAACATAATACTCTTTCAACATTTATTCATCCTTAAATTATTCTAAATTCAATAACCATCTGTGAAAAAGTATGTTAACTTTTAGATTCAGTAATTAGTGACAACTCCTTGAGCAGCAATGACTACAACGAAGCATTTCCTGTAACCGTTAGTCAGTCTCTCACATCGGATTTGAAGAATGTTGGCCCATTCCTCCTTACAGAACTCCTTCACCTCGATGACATTTGAGGGTTGCCTTGCATGGACAGCTCGCTTTAGGCCCTGCCACAACATTTCGATGGGGTTTAGGTCCAGACTTTGACTAGGCCATTGTAAAATGTGGAATTTCTTCTTCTGCAGTTATTCTTTTGTAGATCTGCTTGTATGTTTAGGATCATTGTCTTGCTACAAGACCCACTTTTGGGTTAGGTTCAGTTCACGGACAGGTGACCTGACATTCTCCTCTAGAATCTTCTGATACAATGCATAAATGGCGATTGTGTCAATGATGGAAAGCCGTCCAGGTCCTGAGCCAGCCAAACAGCCCCAAACCATCACATTCCCACCACCACGCTTCACGGTTGGGATGAGGTTCTTCTGTTCGAAAGCAGTCTTGGGTTTTCGCCAAAACATAACGTTTCTCATTAAGGCCAAAAAGTGCTACCTTTTCCTCGTCTGTCCAGAGAACATTGTTCCAGAAGGCTTGTGGATCATCTGTGTGCTCATTGGCGAACTTCAGACGGGCAGCAATGTTCGTTTTTGAGAGCAGTGGTTTTTTTCCTTGCTATCCTTCCATGAACACCATTCTTGTTCATTATTTTTCTGATATTTGAGTCATGAACACTCACATTAGCCAAGACGAAAGTGGCCTGCAGATCCTTGGATGTTTTTCTGGGGTTCTTTGTGACTTCCTCGATGATTTTCCGGTGTGTTCTCGGAGAGGTTTTGGTAGGACGACCGCTCCTGGGGACAGTGACTGTGGTCTTGAACTTTCTCCATTTATAGACTGTCTGTCTGAGAGTGGATTGGTGGCACCCCAAATCATTAGAAATGGTTTTGTCGCCCTTTTTGGACTGATGAGCATCCAAAACTCTTTTTC